ATTTCCTGTAATACCCTGCACCGAGGGTCCTGGCTAAGTGTACTCTCTCATGACCGAGAAAGCAAGAAATGAGGCAGAGAACAGGGGCCTGCTATCTCAGCCATTTCCTTCCAGCAGCACAACTACGCAGACATGGGATTTTTTTACAGCAGCATTCCAGCTCCAGTCGTCAGCCTCACAGGTGTTAAAAATGTGGTTGCAGTCTCAGTGGTAGCTTTCTAATCCCTGAATAGCAACAGGTATTTGATCTCAATCTGTATTTTGCATTCAGCAGTGCCAATGACAGCCTCTGAATTCACTAGCTTCCTGACTGTAATAATAGTAGTAATGCCATAATGGTCACTTTTGTGGGGGTGTGGGAGTCATTCTTGGAGGCCCAGCCCACACAGCCCTCTCTTCCAAACTCTCCGCTGATTTTGTTAATATCCAAAACTCTGAGTCAAATCTTTTTGTGTTTAAAATGCATAGTTTCTGTCCTCCAAAAAACACTGACACAAGCCTATATGTGTATAACTGCTCAACCCTCATAATAAAACCATCAGCCTGGTCATACTACATAGAGTCTACAAGGGTATCATCAAAACCACTGTAAAATACTTTCCTCAAATGATAAAACACAGTATCCAAATCTAGCAGTTTCTCTGATCTAGAGGTTTAGCAATGTTGTCAAAAAAGGAAATCAAATTGTTCTGATATAATTTGTTCCCACTAACCTATGCTGACTTATAACAATTCAAGTCTCCTTTCCTAAAGGACTCACAAATATTCTAGACAGCCTGCCCAAGGGGACGTCAGGTTCACTGGCCCACAGTAATAACGTGATTTGGGGGGTGGAACCTGAGTCTGTATATCAGGTCTACCACTCATCTGCTATGAAATCCTGGACCAGTCACTTCATGTTCCCAAGTCTCAGTTTCCTTAGCGGCAAACAATAGTGACAACATTATTTACAAAGTCCTTGTGAGAAGTTAATGAGCTGATGTATGTAAAGTTCCAAGCACAATGTTCAGCCCATATGGACCTGCAATTAATGATAGCTGTGAAAGTGAAAGTGAAGTCGCTCATTTGTGTGCGACTCTTTGAAACTCCATGGACTATATGTAGCCCGCCAGGCTCCTCCGTCAATGGAATTTTCCAGGCAAGAATACTGGAGTGGGCTGCCAGCTATAGCCTGAGAAATTTACCTTCTATTCTCTTTTCTGAAAATAAAAAATGAATAAAACAAAATAACAATTAACTTCATCTTGCTTACATGGATGGCACTTCCCTCATTTTCTCAAAAAAAAGACATCAAACTTCACAAACAGTGGAATACAATCCTCTCACCTGCAAGTTATCTCAACACATTACTGATCATACTCCCAGTCGGGAGGTACTGAATCAGCTGAGTGTTCCCTGATCATTACCTCACCTTGCCATTCGATTTCTTATAAATCCAGCCCCAGCTCTGGGAGGCCAGAAAGTTCCACTGTAGGAACACAGCAGATCTGAACAAGGGAAAAGGCCCCCACTCTTTCTTTGCTACAACAGTTTTGCTCTTCTAGAGTTACCCACAAAGAAATAACCTCTACTAGTTTATCAATTTAATGACAACGGATTCCTGACCTGATCCTAATCGATTTCCTCCAGATAAAAAAAAAATCTTAAATGTTGATTTCATTAATGACAACCAACCTGCTTACACTTTCTGTCAACCTCCTAATTCCAACTGGCATAGACTAGTCTGGATAAAAGATAATATGTAAGGCAGTAGAAATCTATATGCAAATATTGGCTGATGCCAGATTCTGAAAGACCTGGGTTACCGAGCTGAAGCCTCGCCATCCCAGGAGCAGTGAGAGCCCAGGGAAGTGGGAACGGGAGGAGGCAGGGGAGGGACGGTGAGAGTAATGCCGGCACTGCTGGAAGCAAGCACGGAGACTGCTCCGGACGTGCTCTCCAGGTCTGTGCCCGTCTAAAAAAAATTACATTTTAAATATTCTCTGTCATTTTCTCCATTTCCCTCAAAAGATCTTTTAACAACTTTGCTTCCTAGAGTTAAGTCATCACACTTTCAAGAAGTAAGGAAAATAGGACTATAATTTCTAGCTTTATGGATAAAGGTATAAAAAAGTATGCAGACATAATTTAAACTGTCAAGAATATTAAATTGGGCAACTCTTTTGAAGCTCCAGTGGTAAAGGTGATGGAAACCAGGATTTTCAGCATATAACTTTGTAGATATTTTAGAAAACTGAAAACTATATAATGCTTTCATCTTTTAGGGAATATATAGATATATACTCTCTTTAGGGAACAAAAATGCTAAAGACACATTACCAAGTGGGACTTTCATTAACTTTAACATAACCTAAGAGCTCATACCAACTAATCTAAGATATTTTTTAAAAGATTAACATCATGAGGAAAGACAAAGCTAAAACTAATTATGTAGTTTCACGGAAAGTAAGTTCTGCCTCAGTAGCTTCTTTACATTCTATACTATTGCTGTATTACAGTATGACAAAACCAGGGTTACACTAACATCATTTGGTTCAACTTTTGGGTACATGGAAATCCCATATTATAGAATGATGTCTAAATTGTGGAAACTTAAAACACAACGAAAGTTGGCTCATGAGATTTAAAACTTGCTCAAGCATATAAAGCAATTACATAAACCACTATCTGCTCCATTTAAAAATAAGCTTTCAATAAAACTTCTGTGACCAAAAAAAAATCATGCTTAGGATATAAAATTATGACATAAACTGAATGTTTACTGTGGTTGTCAAAGCTAAAAGTCATTACACAAAACATGTGGAAATCTGTTATTTTAAAGCATGAGGTTTGATAAATCATTATAATATATCTCTTCCTTGAAAAAGAATAATCTTAATGTGAATTCGATTCCATAAATACTCATTTTTAAACTACTGTTTAAATGATGATGTTCAACTATATGGACTACAAGGGAAAAGTTGTTAATGTAGTTTCATAAGGAGCTCAGTAGCTCTCTGAAGATAGAATGAAGCACTCGATGATCTTACTGGTCTGTTAAGAATCAGAAAACCTGACTTAGAAGAATTTTATCAGCTGTGGAAAACCGACGCTACCTACTGATGGGAAGCATGCTGTAAATGACCTTATCTGTCTTTTCAGTCTACAGGGCATATGACTTGTACCCTAACATAAGCTGGCTTTGGAGGCCACAAGACCGTCCAGTGTAGTCGGTTAGCATGTTAAGGATGCAGAAGCCCTATTCTAGTAATATGCTCAGCTAGGAATGCAAGTCTTAGACTGCTTTCCAGGGCAAAGGCTCAGGAAACCCATCAGCATGTAAGATTAAAAAAAAAAAAATCGCACCCCTTCCCACCCAGGATTAACTATCAGTATCTGGCAATGTGTTTTCATCCTGTGCTTCACAACCCTCCCTTTCAAAGTATACAACCATAATGGGCTATATATACTAAGGAATATGAAGGAAGCAACTGCAGTGAGCCAAATGACTTGAAGCTATAAGCTTATCAAGCAGCCCCCTCATGGGCTGGGGGGGGNNNGGGGGGGGGGGGGATGGGGCGGGAGGGGAGCAGCAAAAACAAAGTAGGCAAAAAGAAACAAAAATGTTGGAGAGGAAATTCCTACCTATATCCATTTTATGCTATCAGCAGATCACTTGACTGTAACTTCATAGGCTCTACAGCGCAAGAAGTCATATATTGCTGCTTTTTGTACCCTTCGGAAGAAGTCCTATGTAGTGAAAAACAGCCTGCGCTTAGACCTAGTCATTGACCACATATGACTAGGGTAGTGGGGGAAGAAAAAGGTCAGTAGGCATCAAGAGGTAATTAATCTGCTGTTGTCTGTAACTGAGAAATCACAATGTCTTACACTGTTAATTGCAAACTTAAAGGGCCATGTTTATACAAAAAGAAATGCTAGCCTGTGAAAGTATCTCTGTCTTCTATCACTCTGCAAGCAAAGGAGATCAAAGAGAATGCTTTAACCGTCCTTTCAGCCCTGCAGCACCCCTGGCACCGTGGCTCTCACAGTACGAGAAGTAATAAGTATGCACCAGGCTGGATGTTCTGCATGAGCATCCTTGTTTCTTGACACGTCTTTCTACTGTTTCTTCTTTTCCCACCTCAGCCCGTATGTCTTCCCTCAGCTGTTTCCCTGCGTTACTGCAGCTTCACTGATAATATGGACAACATGAAATAATATTACGTTGTATTATTTGGGACGGAATTTTAGGTTTACTTTTTTAATCAGAAAAGCAAATGTGAGGAATTTTTTTATCTCTATCATTCTATCTCAAAGATACTTTACAAATTAAATTTTGGATTAGTATCCATCCTTCAACAGAAAAAAGTTCCATAAACCCTCAGTTAAAGAGGAGCTGCTTTCTGCTGTACTAAAAAAAACTCTGAAAACTTACTTGTGCCATACTCCTTTCACTCTTCCCCCCTCCCCGAACTTTAAGCGTTTTATTTTGTATTAGGGGCATAGCACATTAATAATGTTGTGGTAGTTTCAGGTGAACAGCGAAGGGACTCGCCCATACGTTTACATGTATCCATTCTCCTCCAAAGGCCCCTCTCGTGCAGGCCGCCACATAACACTGAGCAGAGTTCCCTGTGCTATACAGCAGGCGCTTGTTGACTATCCATTCTGAGTGATGGCAGTACGCACACGGCCTTCCCAAACGCCCGAGCGATGCCTTCCCCTCTGGCAACCATATCCCAAACGCCCGAGCGATGCCTTCCCCTCTGGCAACCATATCCCAAATGCCCGAGCTATCCCTTCCCCTCTGGCAACCGTAAGTTTATCTGCTAAGTCTGCGAGTCTCTCTCTGTTCTGTAAATTCACTTGTATCATTTCTTTTTAGACTGTTAGATAAAGTCAGGAAACAAAATTTTCCACAACTGGCTATAACAAGTAACACAGAACTATCCTGGTTTCTATAGAAGCACATTCTCAAAACAGAAGATCAATAGTCAGTGGGGGAAAAAGCCACATACTTTTCATAGTTCCATCTTCTTCTTCCTCATCCTCGCTGTTTATAACCATGGTCCCCAAGTCAGACTCTAACATGGTGCTGTTGTGTTCAATCATGGTCTGGGCCCCTTCACTCATGGTGCTCGTGGCCCTCATGGTGCCCACGCTTTCCGAGCTCGTCTTCACCATGGTGTGGGAGTCCAGCTCATCCTCATCCTGCAAGCAGAACACTGCAATGAAGGCAGACTTTTCTAACACAATGGATATCTTAGAAGAGTATGAGCATCATTATATTTTTAATAATAAAAAAATTCTATTACTACTAATTTTCATGTAAGGACACACATACAGTGTTATCCTAAGTGCCAACTATCCAAAATAACCTAAAGAATTTAAAGTAAAGTTTTAAGTAATTAAAACTCAAGCAATAGAAATTATTTGATGAAACTGAAGGTGGCCAGCTGTTCTTAAAGTAGGATTAAGATAGATGAGGTAGATGATCAACAAAGAATATATAACAAAATAAATAGAAGAGCACATTAAAGACAGAATGTGTTGGCACTATTATAACAACCTTAATAATGTTTCTAACTTTGTACAAAAGCCATTAGCTCTTAAAAAATTATTGTAAATATACATAACATAAAATCTACCATCTTAATCATTTTTCAGGGCACAATTCTATGGCATTAGGAACATTTACAGTGTCATCCAATCATCAACACCCTATTCCAAAAATATTTCATTGTCTCAAACAGAAACTCTGTACCCATTAAAAACTAACTCCTCATTCCTCCCTTCTCCCAATCCTATTCTACTTTCTGGTAAAAGTATGGAATCTCCGTTCTATTTTCTGTTACAATGAATTCACCGATTCTAGGCACCTCATATAGGTAGAATCATGTCTTCTGTGTCTGGCTTATTTCATTTAGCAAAATGTTTTCAAAGTTCATCCAAATTGTCCCAGATGTCAGAATTCCATTCCTTTTTAAGACTGAATGGTATTTCACTGTGTGTGTGCAAACACGCATACCACACCACCATCACCATCTTATGTTTACCCATTCACTTGTTAATGGACATTAAGGTGTTTACACCTTTTGGTTATTAGGAATAATGCTCTGAACACTGGTATATAAGTATCTATAGATACGTGGTCCTTGACTTCTGAAGGTTCAACTTAGGATTTTTCAATTGTACAACAGTACAAAAGAGAAACACATTCAGTAGAAACAGTAGTTTGAATTTTGAACTTTTCCCAGCCTTAGCAACATTTGGTAGGAGCTATTCTCATGAAGCTCTGTGACAGCAGCAGCCAGCCACGTGATCGGGGATGTAAAGAACCCGTACATTTACAACCATTCTGTACCTATAAAACCAATCTGTGTTTCACAGAATGCTATGGTTCAGCACAGCATTTAACAAATTGCACAGGATTCCATACTTTATTATAAAATAGGCTTTGTGTTAGATGATTTGCCAAATTGTGGGCTAATCTAAGTGCTCTGCGCACATTTAAGGTAGGCTACAATTAGCTAGGCTTTTTGGTAGGTTAGGTATATTAAATGCATTTTTGACTCAATCAGAGTTTCAACTAGCAAGTTACTTAAGACGTAACCTCATCAAACGTTAAGGAGGATCTGTATTTGAGTCTCTGCTCTCAATTCTTTTGACAGCACTTGAAGTGCAAATTATACGCTTTCCACATTGGCTGCACCGTTTTATACTACAAGAGTGTACAGGGTTGCAACTTCTCCACATCCTCACCAACACTTGTTATTCCCCCCAACTTTGCTAACAGACATCCTAATGGATATCTGGTATCTCACTGTGGTTTGATTTACATTTTCCTAAAAACTAGTGATGTTGCGCATCTTTTCATGTGCTTATTGGCCATCTGTATATCTTCTTTGGAGAAATCTCTATTCAAGTCTTTTTGCTCATTTAGTGTTATAGGCTGTTTTTTGCTGTCAGGCCAAATAAGTTCTTTTTAGGTTCTGGATATTAATCCCTTATCAGATATATGATTTGCAATTATTTTCCCCCATTCTACAGGCTGTCTTTTCACTCTCTTAACAGTTTCTGTGACACACAAAAGCTCTGATGAAGTCCAATTTATCTTTTTCTTTTGTTGCATGTATTTTTGTTGCCATATCCCAGCCATTGGCTTTTAAATGAAATTCACAGAAGAATCAAGTCAGTGACAAGTATGAACCAAAAAATGCTTTTTAGAACGTTCACCAAAAGATAAACTGGAATAGGGCCACAAAACTAAACTAACAAATTCTGTTTGAGAAACCAAGCAATGTGCTATTTGGAAAAACTTGATCATGCACTGAAATTAATTTATATCTACTTCACTTTAAGTAGAAACAAACAAACAAAACCCAAGTTCTGACAGAAAGTTAAAATGCAAATATTGGAGAACAGGAACATCCACATTGTTCTCAGCGGTCTGACAGCCCTCCTCTTCCTAAACCTACAGTATAAACTCAGCATTATATCTCAAGTCCTTTGCTCATCTTTCATGAGCTTCTCTTCCTTTAGAAGACATCTTCATTGCTATGCCTTCAACTATCTTGCGTGTTGAGGACTCCCAAATTCTGAAAATCTTCCTGACTTTATTTACTACTTATAAGCTTAATGATGTTTAAAAACTCAACAATCTCAAATGAGATCATTTCATCCATCTCCATGGCCCTTCTAGTCTGCCTCCAGCCCCAAAAACAACCACTAAAGTATCTTCATTAGCTATCTGAGAATAAGATTTCAATGTCTTCACGGGTTTACTCTTATTCATTTCCTTTATACCAACAGCCAACAAGCTCTTCTTCAAAAGACTCTTTCTCGGTTCCATCTCTTCTTTTCCAGTCCCACTGCTCCTGAGTATCCTCAACTCATGTCTGGGTAACTGAAAGAAGAGCACCCTGACCTTCTAGAACCAGACAGATGTTAGTTCAAATCCTAGTTCAAAGCACTTACTAGACTTAAGACCTTTGCTTGGTGATTTGGTCACTAAAACGTGTCCAACTCTTGCGACCCCATGGACCGGAGCCAACCAGGCTCCTCTGTCCATGGGATTTCCCAGGCAAGAATACTGGGGTGAACTGCCATTTCCTTCTCTGGAGGATCTTCCCAACTCAGGGATAGAACGTGGGTCTCCTCCATCACAGGCAGATTCTTCACCCACTGAACCACCAGGGAAGCCCTCTTATGACCTTTTAGTAAAGCTATTTAAACTCTGTGAACTTGGGTTTCTTTCATTGGTGTTATGATGATTAAATGAGAAAAGGTATGCCAAATGCTTCCATGTGACTAGGAATAAGGTAGTTTCACCTTCTTCAAAGTATACATACTACACCAATCTTTCTTGAAAACTACTTGTATTATATAATATTCTTCTGCTAAAGAATCTATAATGGCTCCCAGTTCTTACCTGCACTGAAAGCTAAACAAAGCTGCCTAGATTTTAATGTTCTTGTTATCTTATTTTATATAGTCAACCTATTTTCCCATTGTTCATGTATCATGCAATAGAGTCAGGCTGACCTAAACTGAGTGTCTAGCTGCCATAAACCCGTATCATACTATACTCATTAAGACTTCATCTTTGTTTACGTCTTCTTCACTACCCAGGGGGTTCTTTCCTCACTAATTCATTTTAATTAAATCCTATTACCTTCATTGCTAACTCAGTCTTTATTAATTATTCCCTTTTTCAAACTTTGAGAATTTATGACCTGCCTTAGAGGTTGCACTTCTGCACTTAAATTTATGATCTCATACTGTAACTGTTCTGTAAAATCATTTATAAATATAATACCTATGGACAAGAAAGCCTTATAATAACTATTTCTGAATCTACTAAAGTGCTCCATTCAGTACCCCAGGCAGTTTTAAGTATTCATTGTATATTTACTTTTTCACATAACTGTAAAATCATGAAGCTTTAATAATTCAACCCCTTATTTTAGACATTAAAAAAAAACAAGGCCCACAGAAAGTAAGGGACTTCCCCAAGGTCACACACCTATTTAAAAATAAAACTGGGACTAAGAAACTAGTTTCTTCATTTCTTAATCCACTATTCCACCAAGTACATGTACCTTATTTACATTTTTAAATTTTGATCTACTTGAATGTGTAAGGTAGAGGAGCAAGTTTACACTTTTCACAGCTTACGTCACCAGATCTTATGCTGAAAGGGTCCCATACAAATTACTTGTTCCATCCTATTCAAAGCCACTGTCGTCTCTCGGATTATTACAACAACCTCCTAGCAGTTTTCACTTTTTGCCCTCTTTGTTCCCATTAGTCTCCCACAAAACAGGCAGATTGATCCTTTCAAAACACAAATCACATCATGTTACTCTCTGACTCACCAACCCCACATTTGGCCTCCTGTCAGTTACAAAAAAGCCCAAAATCTTTATCATGGCCAAATGTGATCTGGCCCAGTAACATCCGCCAATCCCATCTCCTATCACATTCCTTCTCACTCACCACGTTCCAGCCAGCCTGGCCTCCTGTGCTGTTTCTTGAGCATTCAAAGCATGTTCCTCTTCAGCCTTTTAGACTGACTGATCTTTCAGCCTGGAATGCTCTTCTTTAAGGCAGTTTTATTTTCTGCTTAACTCAGGTCTCCATTTAGATGATAGATGTTACCTCTTTAGTGAGGCATTTTCTGACCACCAATCCAAAATTGAAGTCCCCATCAATCTTTTATCCTTCTATATTTTTCATCACCTGTACCTGGCTTTTCTACCATTAGAATATAAGTTTGATGAAGGCAAAGACGCCTTCTTTTTCACAGATGAACTCCCAATGCTTAGAACACCTGGTATACAGTAGTGAAGTTGCTCACTCATGTCTGACTCTTTGTGACCACATGGCCTATATATAGCTTACCAGGCTCCTCCATCCATGGGATTTTCCAGGCAAAAGTACTAGAGTGGGTTGCCATTTCCTTCTCCAGGGGATCTTCCCAACCCAGGGACTGAACCCAGGTCTCCTACATTGGAAGCAGATGCTTTACGGTCTGAGCCACAGTAGGGACTTGATAAAAATTTATTGAATACATGAAGTAATTAATATTATTACTTATTAATTCATTCAACAATCATTTATTGTAAATTCATAATATGTCAAGGAGTGGACTAGGCATTGGAGATACAAAGAATAAGAAACAGTTTTGCTCCATTTTTGTCTTTTTTTTA